GGGCTATCACTTACATGGGGTGGTTTAGTGACAGCCCCTAGTGAAAAGGTGGCAACTGAGGAAAGGCCTCAAGAGGCAAAGAGGCAGGTGGTGCAGACACAGGGGTAGGGTGAGGTGAGCCTTCCAGGTGCAGGGCACAACAGTGCCCGTGTTCTGAGGCAGGGGGTTGCCTGGTATGAATCTTCATATTTTTAACCAAGTTGCAACACTAATGTTTGAGACCACTGCAGGAGAATGGTGGCACTCCACGTAGAAACCAGCCCCTGCAAAGTCAGAGCTTGTTGAGGATGTTGCCAAGGAGGCAGAGGACAGGGGTCAGACTCCAACACAGGTCCACTGCAGAGCTCTAACGTCTTCCTCAGAGAGAACTCAAGGTCCGGAGGCTTGGGTGAAGAAAGCTTGATTGACAGCCCTCTCCTGGCCCAGGCGGGACAGCCCAGGCAAAGGTGCAGCAGAGGAGGATTAAGAAGAGAGAAGGCCCCGGCCCACTCAGCGGTGGCCAGGGCTGGGAAGGAGGGCCCGGTGATGAGACTGTCCAAGGGCTCCTACTGTTAACTCAGGATGTTAAACAGCGACATCCGTTCCATCACGTCTTATCTCGTCCAAGCTCCAAACAATCCCGGAGGTAGGAATTATACATCTCAATTTAGTAGATAAGGAGAATGGGGTTCACAGAGGTTAAGAACACACAGCTAGGAAGAAGCTAAGCCAGACGGAAAAGCTGGCCAGGTGCCAGCCTCGGCGCTCTTCCCACACAGTGGCTGCGCGTCCACGGTCAGCTGGTCTCAATGCTCCACCGGCCAGTGTTGTTGTTTTTATTACTGTCATTTTAACTTGCCCTTAGGGTCCCCTTAGCACCCTATGGCTTGTGCAGAACTTTTTCTCCTGTTGCCGGGTAGTCTCAGCAACTCTGTCAGGCAGACAGGGCATGGCAATGTCCCCACAGGGTACCTACAAAAACCCAAGCCCCAAGCCCACGGCCAGGAAGCGGCAGGAGTCCTGTTATGGTCCATCCCTAGTTTACACTTATGGCAGGGCCTAATTTGATCTGCCCTTCCCCTCATGCTCTAGAAATGCTTGTGGAGCTGAGCCAAGTTGGCCTGCCTTGAAATAAGCCAGAGTCCTGCGCTGAGTGCAATGATGTCCAAGAGAAGCCACTCCCCGGTGGAGCCTGGACAGGGTACAGCACAGCCGCCCTGAGTTCAGGACTGAGCCGGTCCCAAGGCCAAAGATGGTATCCTTCCTCTGAGCACCTCTCAAAGTCCTCTTCCTCAGGCTGGTCTTACGGAGCCCCATTACTGGTCACCTCCCTGTCCACTCCCCACAGGGGCACTCTACCAAGCCCTTCCCACAGTGTTCCCCACCTTGGGCCCTGCGGCCTCCCACTTCTCCCTACTCACATGTCTCTCCCGAGTGAGAGAGAGATGGACCCTTTCTTCCCAGAGGCAACCTGGTTTCTGTTCCCTGGATGCGTCTTCTCCTCCCTCCCCAGAGACCCTGCTCCAGACCCTAACCTCAAAGGACTCCGGTGGCCCCTTTCCAGACCCATTATAACACTCCCTGGGCCTCTGAATTTCTTCAAAGCTCTCCAAATGATTCTAATATGCACTCAGGGTCTGAGAACAAGCTGTCTTTAAAGAGAGAGAGAGAGAGAGAGAGAGAGAGAGAGAGAGAGAGAGAGAGAGAAATAGAATAAAATAAAACACAATAGAATTGAATAGCAAAGAATAGAACACAATGGAAAATAGCAGAGTGCTTTGCTTTTTAAGAGTGGGTATTGTTTCTTAAAAGTTCAGCTTCAATTGTGCTGTGTGTGGGTACGAGTAGGTGTGTCTCCTGGGTCAGGAAGTAAATATGTTTCTTGTACTAGATTATGATAATTTTTTTATTTTTATTTTTGGAAAACATTGCTCCCATTCCTGCATTAACCTATGATTCTCCTCCATGATCAAAATCCCTGGCAAAAATCTCTGCTCACTGCCTGCTCTCTGTCTCCTCTGCCTCCCACAGCTCCCAGCCCCAGCCTTCCACTAACACTGCTTCTCCCTGAGGTTTCCATGACATGCAACTTCCAACCACAGGGGCTTCTTCTCAGACCCCTTCTGCCTATCTGGGTGTGTGTGAATAGGAGGCTACCTCGTTCCTGAAATTCTCTGCATGCACGGGGCTGTGGTGGCTTCCAGACCCTCCTGGCCATTCCTTCTCTGTCCCTCACTGGCTGATCTCTCCTCCTGATCCCAAGTATCTTAACCTCAGGGTTCCCTCAAGCTTCTGGTTCCTTCTTTTCTCCTTTGCCACCCACTCCACCCAGCTGGTGGTTTCAACAGACTCCAGATCCACGTCCTTAGTTTAACTTGTGAGCTCCAGTTGTGCGGTTCACCCATTGTGTGCTGGCCTCTGAACATGGGGTGGGGACGAGGAGTGAGACAGTTGAGGCCAGCAGGGGGGATTATCATCCCCATTCACAGAGGAAGAAGCTGAGACTGAGCAGTTGAGGGACCGACCCTTCCATGGTCTCTTATCCACCATGAAGAGGGTCCTAAATCTGTGACTTCTAACCTCAGCCCAGAGTTCTTCCCTTGTCACCATGCACTGGAAACTCAACATGTACTCAAGTGTCAAGGCCTCCAACCACAGGCTGTCTGTCAGAGCTGGGAATCTATAGGGAGGCTTTTTAACCCAGTGATGTCCAGACTTCACCTGGACCTTAATGATATAGAATCTTCTGGAAGAGCTGTTTGTTTTAACTTTATATTTTAAAGTATTTATAGATTATGTAAATGTATGAGAGGATGACAGGCACCCTCTACTCAGCCTCCCCAGTGGTAACATCTCACACAACTATAGCACAAAACCAGGACTGGGATACCACTCCAATCAATGCAACTTGCTCAGACCTCTCCAGTTACTCAGGTGCTTCTGTGGGTGTGTGTGTAGGTAGCAGGATGAGGTTTGATCAGCCACCACCACATCTGAGGTATTTAACTATACCATCACCACAAAGCTCCCAAGAGCTTTGGTTTTGAACACTCCCAAGTAATTCATTGTCGTACATATGGCTCATGAGTAACGACCGTACCAGTGCTCTGCTCCTTCCCCCTCGCCACCAGGGCAATGCACTATCATTCCCTAAGGCGCCCTGGTTTGAAACTTGGAGTCAGCACTGATCTGCTCTCCCTTGGTCCACCTGCCCACAGCAGGTTCAACATGATTCTTTCCTCGTGTTTCTGAGGCCTATGTCTTGCCCTTGATCCTCACATACCCACTACGACTCTAGGCCTCTTGACTTCTTGTCCCTCTTGCTACAATAACCTCACCCATTTCCCTTTTCCAAGATGCCCCTTATCCTAGCTAGTATCATAAAGTAGGGGCCAAATCTCTCCCTTATCCAACTCCGACCATTTTATTCTTCTGACTAAAATATTTTGATGGTTCCCAACATTACAAAATTAAAGTCTAAACTTTTCTTAAATTCAAAATATTTGACTATATTTGACTCTCTTTCTGTATTCAAGTTTCTTAAACACAGTGCCAGCTTTCCTTATTTTCTGTAAGGATTAAAGACAAATAGCATCCTTAAGGATATGATAAGCTTCTCGCCATGAGGACAAATGGACTTCTTCCTCCTGGGCTTCATTCTGCTCTTTCTTTGATATGAGAGCAAGTGCAGCAGAGTGGGCCCAGGGAAACCTCTTGCTTCAGGGATGTCCTTAACCTTGGAAGAATGGTTCTTCCATCCCTTGTGTCCTTTCAATGTAAGACATAAAGGGGGCGCAGACCCAGGTGGAGCTGAGAAGGAGGATACCTACATGGTCTGGTGTTAGCTACTAGAGAATGGAGACATCCCAGGCAAGAAGATGGTAGGCAGCCCCAAGGGATGGGAGCTGGGACCCTTCCTGTCTTCCTATGACAGACAATCACCTTTAGAACTCTATTGCCTACTTGCTAACATCCTTGATGCCTTTTCCTTTCTTTAAGCCTATGGAACAATGAGAGTCAAGTGATTCATGAGCATTGCCCTTCAGACAGCTCTAAAATTCCCTTCCCGCATTGCTCCTACACTTCTTTCTACATGATGATAAAATGAAAAGGAAAATTCGCTTATTGAGATTAAATGCATTTCAATTATCTGATATGTTTCAGCTTTAATTGATAACAAATCATAAATTGCCCATCTCATTACAGCAAAATGATTCACTGGGAAATTTACTACCTGCACCAGAAAAGGCTTAGACGATAACACAAGCCCAGGGACTGTAGGATCCAGTGACCCAGCAGTCTGTTTTTAAAAATCACACGTTATTAGACAGGCATCCATATAAAGATCCAATCAAGAGCACTGGTTTCTAAATTGTCTTTAATACATGGTGTTTAAGTTTGGAGAATATGGGGGCGATATATGAGGGGGCAATCAGAGACCACGAAATGTGCACCAAGGGACTGAGTAGCTGGTGGTAGTTGGAGAAAGAGAAGGAGTGACGTGAAGATTTTAATAAGGCATTTTCAGGTTCCTTGTTAAGGACAGATGGGATAGGGCACAGGGGATCCAGCAAAGAGGCCACACACGTAGCAGCCCTGTTGCTCTTGTTGAATTACACAGGAAGTCCCATTGGCATCATGAGCACCATCAACAGCCCCCACCATCATTATCACCACTTCTAAGACCACTCCAAGCAACACTGTTCAGGCAGAGGCCAAGAAACACCACTGAATGAAATGATGCTTCATGTGTATACAGTGGGTTGGAGGTCAGGGTTTTTTGTCTTATCCTATCACACTGGATAAAGTGTTGGATGGGATTGGCTATCCAGTGAGGAAAAGTCTCCTCTGGGATGCATGGCAGCGAAATTTCCAAAGCAGTGATCGCCATGAATCTCTCATCTCAGAGGTGACACCCCAAGGAAGGAGCAGGGAGAGAAAGCCTTGAGAAAATGAGAACCTGAACTTGAACCCTCTGCCCAGCTGTCAGTCAGGGATCAGGGGGTGGGTGGCCCACTCACCATTACTGCTGTTGTCATCCACCAGGATGATCTCCTTGAGCAGGTGCGGGGGTGTGCGTTCCATGGCTGAGTGGATGGAGCGCAGCAGCACCGAGAGGGCCTCATTGACAAAGATGAACACGATGCTCACCTCCGGCAGGCTGTCAGGGAAGGAGAGGTTGCGGCACCTGGAAAGAAGAACGGCAAAGCTCTTGGATCCGTGGATGACTCAGCTGGAGTTGCCCCAGGTGTGCACCACCCCATGTCTTGCTCCAGCTCTGCTGGAAGGCTTGGGAGTCCAGATTCTTTCCAGGACTTCTTCTTGGATGCACTTAAGATGAGCTCTTTCTGTCCAGCAGAAAGGTCTACAGCTACCCAGAGTTTGCCCCATAACTGTGTGTGAATTTGTCACTGACTATCCCAGCTGAGCAGCTGTACCCGAGCACCTAGCACAGCAGATGACACCTACCAGGCAGTCCTTGGGTGTTTACAGCAAGGATTTCTAGCATTTCTAAACCAACAGGATTGAAAATGCAACCAAAGGGAAGTCTTAGTATTTCCACAATGGCAGCACTTTGGTGAATTCGGACCTTAGGCCACCAGCCTCAGGAGGGCAGTAGGTCTCCTCTCAGAAATTCTATGGCCCCCATCTACTCTCCATTCTAGAAGGCCTCCAGCCAGCACCCCCAACCATTCATTCATTCATTCATTCATTCATTCATTCAGGGCTTTGGCCTCAGAAATGGGCTGAAGTCTGCATCACATTCATATAGGATGGAAAGGACCACGTCCAATCTCCTTCACAGATGAACACCAAGGCACAAAGAGGTTGAGGCTCCACCTACAGTTGTGTTGTGTAGCAGGGTTCCTCCATGAAGAAGAAATGGCCATGGTAAAGACTGTCCCAACTGGCCATCTCACAAGCTCTGTGAAACCTTGAAGCCATTTGGAGGAAGCCATTACCCAAAGGACTGGAGGCAGACACATAAAAGGCTGCATGTCACTCCCCATTGGAAGAGGAATGCATAACCTTGAAATCAGATCCCTGGAAAGGCCAGACAATAAGAGGTGCCAGGGTTGCCAAGGGTAATTCTTTCCCCTGAAAGCACAGCCTTTATTTGCAGGAACCCACTGGTGCCTTTCCCAGGTCGAAGTTTAATGTTGTAAAAGTCCTGAGCTCTCATCTTCAAGACAGTTGGAAGGAAAGAGTAGGATAGAAATCCAGCGCTGGCCCAGGCCCTGGTCTTGGAGATAAGGCTTCCACACTTACCACCTGCCACTGATGGCTTCAGGGGTTTGGGACTGGTGACCACACTCCACTGCTCCAAAGCGGGAGGTGCAGCCAGGTTACAACACGCAATAATGAATGTAATAGCACAAGGCTTCTGCTCGTCAGTAATTAAAGTGCTGCCGGAAAGAAATGGGCCTGCTCTTCCTTAATGAGGAAGGCTGCAGGATACCAGCGCTGAGCAATTTGGAGAAGTCGCCATGGGGCCCCAGCCTGCTTAAGAGCATGAGATTAATAAACTAAAATCACTGTCTCTATGGTTACCAGAAATTTACAGAAACTTCTCCCATTCTATTTCCAGCTCTCCTTCTTTCTCACCAAGGGGAGGTGGGGGGAGGGAAAGAGTTGAACCTTTTCCCAAATTTACTTCATACCTGCATTTTTTTTTTTTTTAAAAAATCAAACCACCAAGTTAACAGATTGGTGTAGAATTCATTCTTCTGTTTCATGGAATAAATTTTTATGGAGCCTCTTCTACCGGGCAGGTACTTTGTAGGCACTGAGAGTGTAACAGGAAGTGGACAAAGTTCTTGTCCTCATGGAGCTTATACTTTGACAGGAGAAAGAAATAGAGAAGCAAACAAATGGTACAAGTTTATACAAGTGCTGAGATGAAAGTCACGTGGAGTAAGAGAATAGTGTGATGCCTGGCAGCTGCTCTAGGGGCTGGTCAGGAAGCCCTCTCTGAAGAGGAGAGATTGGATCAGAAACTTAAATAGCACACAAAAGTGGGTCAGGCAAAGGTCCCACATGGCTGAAGGACAGTGCTGTGGCTGGAGAAGAGGCAATCAGCTTATCCAACCTCAGTGAGGCGACATAGGGGAGGGGGAGGGAGAGGGGGAGGGAGGAACTTCAATGAAGGAGAAAGACAGGAACCTTAAGCTCATCCTATTCTTTCCAAAATTGTTTCTTGTTATGAGTACAATTATTTTTAAATAGCACTTAAGAGATATGTATGTGATTTACAGTCAAAAAAATTCTGCTGGTTGATACTTTTATGATGAGTAACCAAACTCAGCAGCTGGGCTCTCCTTAGGCATGGAAATGGAGATGAACATTAACCCCCAAAACTACTTGCTAATTGCTTTTTAAAAGCGATGCCATACGTGGACAAACAAATAGCCCCTGGTCATCATTCTTCTTTAATGTAAGTACAATGGACAGCTCCCAGTGAGGTCAATATAATGGTACAAGTTCACCATCCTCCCTTGGAAACTTCACACGCAATGAAGCCTGCACTCTAGACCTCTGCACTTGCCCAAGGGTGTCCTGTGACTTCCCAGAGCCTCAGCTCACTATCTGCATCTCTAGGTTGTCCTCAGGTGTTTTTCATAGACAGGGGTTAACTGCCTTCCCCTGCTCTTTCCCTTCTTAATTCTCAACATAACAATACAACCTCCCCCTTTCAAGGAGACCAATTTTAATTTCTCCCAGTAACATCTAAGATGATGTAAGCTGCCAGTCTCTGCAAACCCATCTCCTGACAGTCTATCTCCAAGCAGAATTGAAATGTTGTATTTGTTTTACAAGATAAACCCTGCTGATCACTATTTTCATATGAAAGACTTCTGAACATAAGGTTTTTTATATGAAAACTCTTTTGTACATAACAGAACACCTAGTATATTGCATCATAATGTACTTGTTTATTGTCTCTCTCTCCCTCTATAATGAAGCTGCCTGAGAGCGACTGTGCTATCTCCCCATCTCAGATCAAGGTCTGGCACATAGTAGGTACTCAGTGAATATTTTTGGCCTGAAACAAAGCTATCAATTTTGCTTTTATATACAGCCTGCATTTTACATGCATAGCACTGACCTCAGAATATTCCTTTTTCTTGCAAAATTCCTCCCTCCGAATTAGATTCGGGTCCTCTCTCCACTAGCAAATTCTTACTCTTCTGTCCTCCCTTCCCTTGAATTTATGACCCCAATTCCTCACATTCAGTCTCTGGAAGTGCTCAGTTCCACAGTTATTAAATGATCGCTCCAGGCCCAACTCCCTGACCTCCTTAAATTCTCCCTTTCTACTCTTCTCTCCTGGGAGCTGCTCAGGCCCTCCCAGCTGCAGCCACCTGCTGACTCTCTGGAGACTCACCTGCCACTCTCTCCACATCACCTCCCATTCCCCTTCAGTTTTTTAATACCTAACTGAAAGTGGGTCTGGGTGAGTGGAGAGGCGAGGTAGACAGTTCTTAGGGAAAGAACACTGTGGGAAGGCTGGAGGCACCTAGGAACTGCTCCCAGCTTTGCTCTTCCTCCCTGTGTGACCATGGACATGCCACTCCACCTCTCCCCATGTCCTTGTTATAGGAAGAAATGACCATGAAGCTGTCTTCTCTGTACAAAACTCGGGAGCACCACACTCCTGAGTGAACAGAAGAATCTCATTGCAGAAACAGTTGGTATACTTTTCCTCCCTCCCAACCAGCCTCTTTGCACACCAAATACCACACAAGAAAAATCCCTTTACCCCTGGGTTGACTAGACAGGGTGGCCAACTCATCTGGGTTTTCCAGGGATTAGTTTTAGTACTTAATGTCCCCAGCAAACCAGGCTGTTTGGCCACTCTGTGACTAGATCAAACCCTTCTTGAGGGTAGGGACCAGCCCTGCTCAGAGCTGCATGCCCACTGCCCAGCTCGGTGGCTGGAACACAGGCATTGTTGAATAGACTCCCGCTCAAATGCCCCTCCCCCTCCACATGCACAGACCACGTCCGTGCACAGCCATAGTTACTGTCTCCATCTCCACACTGAAGCAGAACACATTGCTAAGGAAGAAGGCATGTCAGGTGAGATGTGCTCAGATTTGCTGGTCACAATGCTCAATGTCATTGAAGGACACCGAACGCCAGACAGATGCTTTCAGCACTGCAGCTCAAGCCCTGCAGAGCTGCCATGAAAGGGGGTGTTCCAGACTCAAGCCTTGTGCAACTGCTTTTCAGAACCCAGCTTGCTTTGTCTGTCAGCCTGGCACTAAACCATATAAGACTTTGCCTCATATACACATGGCTGAGATGCTCTCCCCAGCACTGGATCCTCCAGGACTGGGCCACCATGTACTCTGTTCCATGCTTGCGTACAGCCAGGACTCTGCCCTGGCTTTTCCAAAGTGGAGTGCATTTGTCAGCTTTCCGTTGCTGTAACAAATATCTGAGATAAATCAACATAGAGGGTGGGAAGTTTTATTTTGGCTCATGGCTTCATAGATTTGCCTGTGGTCACTTGGCCCTGCTGCTTTGGGCCTATGGTGGCATAATTACATCATGGTGGAGAAAAGCTGCTTACCTCAAGGCAACCAGGAAGCAAAGAGAGAGGTGTACCTTCAGTGACCACCTAGGGTTCCACCCACCCAGCAATGTCACAGGTTGAGGACCAAGCCCTCAACACATGAGCCTTTGGGGAACATTTCAGATTCAAACTACATTATAAAGCCACCCTCCCACCTGCCCTGGATGGCTGCTCCTACTCTCCTGCTTCTCCTCTGGCTTCTGCAGAGAAAGGCCCAAGAATGTGGACTTCTGATATGTCACTGATGTAACCAGCCTTTTTACCTTTAAGCTCCTTGAGGACACCTAAGTATATAAGCCCCTACTCATTTTGTGAAGAGCCACATTCCCCTGTAAAGTTCAGCTATGAAAGTTCCCTTTTTTACTTTTATGCTTGTTCAAAGTCAAGCTATTTTCCACTGAAGATAAACATGAGGTGTTTCTGAGAGGGGAGTGATATGGTGTCTAATAAGCTGGAATTGATGGTCATGATAAAACTCCACTGCATCGATCTCTGCACACAAAAGGAGATGCGGGGACAGGGAGTAACTCAGGGAGCTTCTCAGCGGAGTTCCCCCTAGATTGTTTTGAGTTGTTTATCAGACAAATTTACATCAAGAGCATCAGAGC